TTTTTCCATGTTTTCTTTCCATCATGGTTTTTGGTTTTCCTGTTTTTTGGGTTTCTATGGTTATTCTCTATTATGTTCTTTGCTGTTTTTTTTATTGAACCTTAAACTTGTATGATGTTTATTCCCGAGTTCTGCACTTTACTGCTAGTTATCTTTCTTTTTTTTCTCAATGTGAGGCTTTTTTTTAGTATTCAGTCTTCTGAAGAGGAAGTTTTTGAGGGTTTGTTTTTGCCTGCTCAGCCCATCTTTCTGTGTCTTTTAATAAATCCTCAGTATGCATCTGTGGCCTCCATAATGCTGGGCCTTGAATTTGAAGCCATCATATAATTCACTATAAACACGATTAAAAATCAGCTTTGTCTGCAGTTTAGTACATTGGATTCTTTCTGCCTTCTATCTCTATTTATAGTTAATATGTAGTTAAAATCATTCAAATTCTGGTGGTAAATATCCATAGTAAATCAAACTTCAAAGTCTAATGAGTGTTTATAAAAAGTGACAAAACCCTGCCTTATTTGACCTAGTCAGGTAAAATTGTAAAAGTCAGGAGGCTATCCCAGCTGACAAGAGGCAAGAGACGGGGAACACCCTGGATGGTTCCAGTCCATCGCAGATGGATAAAGATGAAAAAGCCTATTGTATATGGCATAAAACCATCAAGGGAATTTATTTTCAGGAACTGTTGCTCATAATCCACAGACCCTCAGGCAGAACCGTGTTAGAGGCATGATTCTGTCACAGAAATCCCAGCATGCGATGAGGAACACTTCCAGAAATCACTCCCTGTGAACACAGCTCACCATGCCATCAACCCATACAGGTAAAAGCTCCATCATGCCTCATGAAGCCATGTGCAAATATAATCCAGGAACACAGCTGTCTTACCTGGACCTGAGCCAAAAGAAATAGGCAAAGGCAAAGTAGAAAACTGCTGTGTGAATCAGTCTGAAACTGTGGGAGAATCCAGTTTGTTATAAACCTTCAGTTCATAACTTGCTATTTCCAGCTACTATTCAATCATAATTAATTCTACAGTAAAACCAAATAAATGCCAGTAGGTTAGCTTTGGTTAGTTCGTAAAGTCCACCCTGAAGGCTGCAGCCAGATGCTCCTCAACTCATCGGAGCTGGGAATTCTTTTCAGTGTTTTAATCAAATCCTAATCTTCCGTTAACCCACATGCTGAGATGGATCAGAGACAAATGTTTTTCTTAAGTATTCATAATAAGCTACCTGTGGGCCTCAGGGCTGAAGAAAATGCAAAACTGCCCCAATTCTCACTATGCGCTTTAACTCAATCGAGTATTTTTCATTTATAATCTGACATCAGGCTGCCAGGGCATGCACTCACTCAGGAGTACAGCAGTGCAACTGTCTCACAAGGTTATACTTTGGGAATGGAGACCCCAACCGTCCCGAACGCGGCGGGCAGAGATCAGCCGCCACGCTGCTCAAGCCAGGGCCGTGAGTACCTGAGGTGTTCTGAAAGAAAATGCTACAATAGCCTCGGGCGCTCCATAACTCTGAGTTTGTGCCTGTGGCCAGATATCAGAGTTTTTGAAGATAAAATTTCACCCGAAGCCAACAGATTCTCATCGTGTCTTCTGCACACCCGTTCATCCATCTGCCCAGACACCGCTCGCCCCTCCTGCCCCGTAAGTGAACATCATGCTGTTATTTATAGACGACCCTGCCTCTACATATGATACATTAGTCACGGGGGTGGGCAGGCACAAACACACACTCGCTCTCACAAAGACACTCCAGGGGGCTAATAATCCCAAAGTCATCTGATGTTCATTAATGAAATTAATATCTTGTTAGGTGTCGAAAATGTCAACTGAACCCTCCTGGGTAAGACATCAAGGTATCTCAGAGTGTGAGTGAAGTTTGCATCTATTTATACATCTTAATGTATATTCATAGAATTAAAGTACTTGTCTTCCTTTGTAGCTTGAAAAGCAAATTATGCATAAAGTCTGTGTACATGGTGCACAGTTTATGAGTGAATGAAAAGGTGAATGTTTACAGAACTTGGATGTTGTAAAGGCCTCGTAAAATTGAGACATAATTTTATTAATGAACAATATACAGGCTGAACATAAATCAGATAAAAGTTAATTAATGATTTGATAACCTATTCACCATTAAAGAAATTATATCTAAACCCTTTTTTCCACAAATTTCCCCCAAAAAATGAATGAACCCTACAATACCATTCTGCTAATTTCAGTAAAAATCACTTTAGAAAATCTTGGCAAACAAATGCACCATATTCTCTGGTCTCCACACCAAGCTAAAAGTAAAACTCATTATTTAGGGTTGTTTAGTGTAGCTGGTTCTGATTCACATCTCCATTGTGTACGTCTAAAGATGCGAGGTGGTTTGTAGGTAGTGAGTAAAGATGTGCAGATGCGTCCACACATGTGGAAAACTTAATCCATTTCTTTGTGAATATCATATAAATGCACCATTGCTCCAGTTTCTTTCCTGAGGTCTTAACTGTGTGTGCTGTTCAGTCAATCAGAAAATCCAGAAAGAGAGAATCAGTAAATAGTGGCTGTGTTGCAGATTTGGATTACCATATGAATGGTGACAGTAGCAAATGGGGTCAACGCTCATCTATTCTCCAGCTGAGGATCCATACAGCAGGCGTTTTGTACCCAAGTCACACAGAGGGTTGCTGTACTAAAGCCTGCAGAACTTTTTAAGTCCGGCTGGTCTGATTCTTTCATTTACAGCAGTGGAATTTTGTTCTAAGGTAATAACATTCAATGTTTTGAGAACTCAAAGGCCTGGAAACATGAGCATGGTTTAGCCGTGGCGGACAAAAAATTGTGTGAGTTTGAATTCTCCAATATTTATCAGAGACAAGATTTTCATAAATACATATGTTACATTATAATATGTAATCAAATGTATGTGTTTGTTGTAGCACATCAAATGTAATTCAGGTCTACACAAAGAAGAATAAGAAAGTAAATACTAAGCAGAGACATAACACTGATGTGATTATTAACATATCAGTACAGTTGTTATTAGTTTACAAATAGCCAGAGATTAAATTTATAATATAAAGAATAAAAATCAATCAGACAAACTTTACTTAAACACTACTGAATCCCTGTGGTGCCCCAAGTCTGAGCAAGACAATGACCAGTAATTATTACCATGGAAATGATCACTATAAGTATAAATATTCTGAATATCTAAATCATCCAGCAAGTTTATCCAGTAAGGGGTAGTGTGTTGTAGTCATTTATTTGGTCTGCATCAGAGGCCCAGCTTTGCAGGAAAACCCCAAAACACAACAGTCTGTGTTCAGTGATTCAGACGAAGCCTCTGCAATGCAGAGCTTATGGGCTGCACCAAAAGCACCTGCTCGTTGATAGCATCTGGAACGTCCAGCCAATGAGGTGGAAAAGGTGCTGGAATGCAGGGCCTTGTTCGTGTGAATTATTTGCTTAGTTTTTCTCTCTGTTGCAAAAGGAAATTGTTTAATGTCCCAAGAGGAATAAAGAAATTGAGGGTTCGTAGCTGAGTACTACCTTGATTTCTTGTCAAGATCATCTTATCTTATAAAGCAGAACGGAGCAGGAAAAGTCCCCGTCTCCAGAGTCAGAGCACACGGATGCACGGTGGTGGAGAATTCGGGGGGTATGTTACAGAACATTGTCAATGCCGTTGTGTAAGTCTTACTGTACATATTGTCTGGCCTCCCTGAGAGCAGCATCCACAGACGGACGGACGCCATGGATACACAAAATGGATAGCATCAGCTTTCATATACTCATATGCATAGATATATGTGATAAAACTTTACAACATGTGTCCAAATCCCCCCTTCACACTCTAGATATCCGTACTAATTTTGCAACAACACTATCATCTGAAAAAGATTATCTTGCAGATGCTGATGTTCTGTCAGAACTTGTACCTAAATCAAGACTCCCACACCTGCACACAAGCACTGGGAAACATCCGTGTAATGCCAAACTTTTGTCTGGTAAGAGGGCTAAAACCAACTTTGAAATGTGAGGCGGTTGAAATGTTTTTATTAATTTTACTCCCCGAAAAAAAAACATGTTTCCAGTGCCATTTTTTTGTTATAAAGTGCACGTATTCAAAGTTTGTACAGCTCTGTCATACGTGCACTTCTAGATAGTTTTCTCAATGACGGGGCAGCAGGTCACTGTATGACACAAACCATGAAATGAACTCATTAGAAGCAAGAGAACAGAAAAAGTCTTAAAAGTACAGAATTACACTCACTGCTCCAATCTGCTTATGCTCAGCTCTTGATTTGCTAGGCTCTTTAAACTATCAGAGACTGAATGATAGAAAGCAGCTGGAGGATAAGGAGTAAGACCACTCTAGGCCAACCAAACCCCACGGGATTAGAAGGAGCAGCTGTATAACTGGAAGGTCATAAGTTTAGACACCAACAACAGTAACACAAATGTTATTCCGAGACAGCAAAGTTCCCAGAGTCCCGCAGAGGGAACCTGCTTGAAAAAACATAATATAAACAGAATGTTTTAACATTTTTTGCTTTTTTCCTTTTTGCCGGCAGAGATTAGCACTGTCAATCATCTCTGATGCGCTGTAATGAAAGCATTGTGATTGCTACAGCTTTTCTTTCATCATGCCTCTTTTACAATTCACCCAGACACCACACTCTGAGCAGTGCACGCAACTTGCCAATGAAAATCTAAGATGACTCCGTTAAAACAGGAGTGTATGTAATTTTCTTTCATTTTATAGTTAATAACATATATTCATGCTTTGTCAACCAGACAGCATCAAATGTACAAATAAGTAATAATCCAGTACTGTGTCTTTTAAAAAGAATAATGATCTTAAAAAAATACTTTGTGGATATGCTGGAAAGCTATTATGTGCACTTTGAGCTAAAAATATAAAAATCTGAATACTGTGTGGAGAGAGAAAAGCTTGCAGGTGGCCAAGTGAAACCCAGAATTTAATTAAATGTATCTTTTGGGAAGTGATGGTTGTCCATGCAAACCAACCATGACACATGAGATATTTTTCAGCCTTAATCAGTCCTATTAGGTTAATGACACCCCATAAACTGACCATTAGCAGGTACAGATGTTGGTCTTTCTTTACAAATGCTTTTGTTTTTAAAATCTTGTATGTTTTCTTTGCGTTATTAGATTTATTGGTTTATATTCATATTGTATGACTTATGTTATTTACTTCCATCCTTTTTGTTGAATGTTCTTTTTCCTCATTTGCCTGTTCGTGCCATTGTGGGTCAGCTCTCTTCTGAGCCATTTGAGTTTGATCCATATATAGATTCCCTCTCCACACCCACCACTCACTTTGTAATCATTGCCTCCAATGTTCTCTTGGTTTTAGTTTTCTCATTTCCAGCATTTGTATCTTCTGTCTTTGTACCCTTGCAAGTCAATCTATCTACAGTTTCTATTAATAAGTTATTTCAGTTCATGCCTTTGGTTTACACCCAGCCTTCAGATGAAGACAGAGGGGAAAAATTAATTAAAAGGTATAATCAATTCAAATAATGAACAAAAGAATGATGAGCAGGAGGAAATATGAACATTATCTTAGCTTAAAGTATGATT